ACTTTAATTGTTCAGATCCGTATCAGAACCATTCAATCTAGTACTTTAATTATCCAGGTCCGTATCTGAACCATTCAATCTAGTACTTTAATTATCCAGTCCGTATCTGAACCATTCAATCTAATACTTTAATTGTCCAGATTATCATACCTAAATTCATTTTCCAATTATATATTTCAACCCATAGACCCACACCTTTATTCCTCAATATCATATTTTAAAATCAGTTTTTTTAGTAATTTTGATATATAGTGAAAATAATAGAATTGATAAAAACATGCACAATTTTAAACCAATTGTACATGTAAGTTTTTAAGCCAATTGTCAGTGATAACAACTTCGGGGTGTACAAAGCCTAGTTTCAAACATTTAAGGTGATAAATATACTCAACTCACCTTGGCCGATACTGAATTGACATACACTTGAAACTTAACGGATATTTTTTAAAATCATTATTTTCTGATTAAATTATATATTAACGTAGTTTGAGAGTGAAAGTATGCGAAAATTCGGTGGTTGTCACGTGCACATTTACAACCACTTTCAATTCAAAAATAACACACGTGATTAACAAACAGGTGTGGTTCACGCGAGCAAAATAAATTATTTAAAATAGACAATGTAATAATATTTCTGACAAAGCGACATTGAGTTCTATATTTCTTTAAGATATGATACCTTTAATAACGTACCTGGGAAGAGACACGACTGATGAACGCATGAGGGCGGATGGTAGGTGACGGGAGATAGCCACTTTTACTGAAGTTTCTAGGTTGATTTGTGATTTCATTATCCGCCGTTTTTTCTTTCTGTAGTACAATAGCAAAAAATGTGTATGCTGTATAAATGTAAAAAATATATATATATCTACTTATATCAACTGTAACACGTTTCTTACGTATTGTACTCTACTTACCACAACTGTCTGATCAACTGCTCTGCTAAACTCTGAACTTTTGGCAAGGCCTACTTAGCATGTTCTTCTAGGGATATCAATACAAAAAACATTACAAAAAATATTATAAGTGTCGCAGCGTGTGCAAGACACCAAAGGATCGCGAATTACAATCATTTGGACAAAGGCACAATGTCTAATTCTTTTTTCAGCCAAAGATTTGTGAGAGCCTGATAAACATTCTTTCTTAGGTCTTCTAATTCTTTTTTCTTCCGAAGGTTTGTGAGAGCCTGATAAACATTCTTTCTTAGGTCGTCTAATTCTTTTTTCAGCCAAAGATTTGTGAGAGCCTGATAAACATTCTTTCTTAGGTCTTCTAATTCTTTTTTCAGCCAAAGGTTTGTGAGCGCCTGACAAACATTCTTTCTTAGGTCTTCTAATTCTTTTTTCAGCCAAAGGTTTGTGAGCGCCTGACAAACATTCTTTCTTAGGTCTTCTAATTCTTTTTTCAGCCAAAGGTTTGTGAGCGCCTGACAAACATTCTTTCTTAGG